GCGCGCTTGTGATTGCCCGTGGGGATCTGGGGTGGGAAGCGAGGCCAGCCCGCGTTCCGCGCGCATTTGTTTCAGGCCGCTGTCTCGGGGGCCCTCTGGCCTCAGGACAGGCCATGCAGGCGCGGGCTTGCTTCCTGTAACCTCTGCCGGTTATGCCAGGGGGGGTCCCGGGGCGTTTTTCCCGCGCGGTTCTCGCGCGATGCCTGGGCAACAGACGGGGCGCGCTGCCTGTCCGATGAGGCTTTGGCGGCCGCCAGGCCTATCCACCCGACGGGGGCAGGGGAAATTCTCGGCTTCTGGTGCGTTCCCCTCTCCTAGGGACCCCCCCCCCTGCGCTGTCTTCGGAAAGCCGCGGGGTCTTCTGGAACAGAAGGCCCGAATGTGGCCTGTTAGGTAGTAAAATTGCTGCATGTGGTTTGGCGATTTACCCTTCGGGCCCGCCCCTAAGGAGACGGAGAGGGCGGTGGTCATGGACGATGGCGCGGGTGCGATGCTCTCTGAGGCTTTCGGCCCTGTCCCGCGGAATTTCGCGCCCCTCCAGCTCGCCCGGGGCGGCGAAGACTGCGCGTTCTTTATGCTCGCCCAGATCGCCCTGGCCCCCGAAAGAATTTGGTGTGATTGCGCGGCCTCGGCGGCGGCCTCCCGGGTCCAGAAATCGCCCCACGGGTGTTCCGCGTGCCCAGACTCATCTTTGGCGCAGCGCACGCAGCATTTCGAATATGGGCTCTCTGTGCACAAGACGACGGCTCATTGTTCGGGAGCTGACGTCGCTCGAAGTCGAACGACTCGCCCGAAGCTTAAGGCCAACGCCATTGCCGACGCCATCGCCAAGAGGGGAGCGGAGAAACACCCCTCGGTCGAGCAAGCTGCCCGTGATATGGATTGCTGGTCTTAGACTTATGGGTCGGGAGTTGGGCCAGTGGGTCGGGCGGCAGGGCGTGCTTATGCGGGAGCGGGGATGGGAGGATTCCGAAGGCTTGCCTGGGCGGGAAGGCCAAGATGCTAGGTCTCGCAGGGCGGCCGCTCGAGAGCGTCCTGCCCCCCCCGCGCTTGTCAGGCTTAGAGCCGTGCTCTCGGCCGCGGCGGAGTCTGGGCGTTGCGACCCTAAGCTTGCCATCGTGACGCGGCTACCTCAGCACAACCTCAGAATGTGTCGTCTTTTTGTTCGGCAGAGGGGCCTCCGTGGTGGCCGCCCCGCACATGACATGTTGTATGCCGTGCGGTGCGTATGCGTGGGGCGGTGTCCGCGAGCTGGCCGCTCCTGTGTGCCATGGACACCACGCTGGGTCGGGGCTCCGGCAGTAGAGGGCGAGGCTCCTTGCGGGCCTGTTCCCACGTTGGTTGACCTGCTATCGCGGGTGGTCGGTGAGTGTGCTCCAGAGGCCCGTCCCCTCTGATCTCGTCGACCTCGCCCGCTACATCCTCGAACGCCCGCAAGTTCGAGTGGGGCTCCCCGAGGGCATGGCGGTCTTCCCACGAGGACCGCCCTGGTGCTCCACGGTCGGGCGAGGTCCGCTCCTCACCCTCTTCGGCCTGAGCGTGGTTCGATGTTTGCTGTTTGACGGATGGAGGCTGGCCGAGCCGCTCCTCGGGCAATGGGAGGCCGCCTCAGGTCGGTTTTGTGGCGAAGTCCCTGGCGCCTCGGCTTTGGACCCAGCGGCATAGGAGGCGCTGGTGCCTGCCATGCTCTTGCCCATGAGGTCCGTCGAGCATGGTTTTGGCTGATCTTCATCGGTGTACGGCTGACTACATTTGTACCTTATCACTCGGTGGCGTGGACGCCTTCCGCTCTTCTCTTATCTCATCTCCGCCTTTACAATCACTTTACTCTCTACAATCTACAATCCCCTTTACTCTCACACTCTTACAATTCCTTTTACTCTCACACCACCTCTGTGGACCGCGATGTCTTCTTCGGGTTCTGGTGCCGACAAGCGCCAGCCAGGTACTCCTGTGCGACAGCTGTTCAAGGCAGAGAAGCACAGCATCGCCTCTCCGACGACTTCACCAGCAGCACTTCCTGCAGCCAAAACTGCTCGTGTGAACAGCCCGCTGAACGAGATGGATGGCATGGGCGGGGCAGCACCAGCACCTGCGGAACCATCACGACCGGCAGCAGGTGCACTCGAACTTCCAGAGGGCGGGGCAGATGTATCAGCAGCAGTACGCCAACAACATTTTCAAAACAGTCTTATGGAAGCGTCGGGCGCCGGGCTTACCGCGGCCACCTTCGAGGCCATTTTGAACAAGCACTTGGAACCAATCAAGAACGACATACGGGCCATCAAACAGCATGGCGTTTCACATGAAGACCTCCAGAACACGTTGAACCCATTACGTAAAGACATCGAGCAACTCCAGGATACGGTGACCAATGATATCGAAGACCTTCAAATACGAGCCACCAACATGGAGAACGCGATCAACGAGATGAAACAGAACATGGTAAATTTAACGATTACCCCGAGATCTGCATCAGGAGCGTCACAAACCGGGTATCCAACTTCCATTGGGAACCCTACTAACGACAAGAGATCTATCACAGCGGTAGTGGGTAGTTTGGATGGCTTTGACTCTTTGGATCAGGCGTCAGATTGGCTGAAAAATGAGATCTTGCGAATCGGGGCCCCAGCATGGACAAACATATATTGTAAAGGTGAGTTCCGCAATATCGTATTTTGCGAGTTCGACGCGATAGAGAACCGGGACGCCACAGTGAAGAAAGTCCGAAATGCTCATCTTACGCGGGATGGCAAGACTGTGTGGGCCACGCCTGACCGTCCGCCCCTGGCCCGGGCAGCACGCAACTTTTGTTTTGGTTTCAAGTACTTTTTGAAAAATGACATGGGCATGGACTACACCATGCGGGTTTGCGATCAAAGCCCATACTCAGTCGAAGTTGGTGGAGAACTGGCGGTTACTTTTCAAATTGACGGGAACACCATCAAACAGACGTGGGCGAACGACTGGGACAAGTGGGCCGAGATGCACGACCACCCTAAGTTCCAAGAGCTCCAGCAATCCTGCGACGACATCATGGCGAGGGCCGCCAAAGGGAGGAAAGGTGGAGGCAAAGGGGTCTCTAAAGGTTCTTCAAGGTAGGACATGCGGCCGGTGCGAATGCGCAGAAGCACCGGAGCCGACCAGACAGAAGATACGAGGTTGCACCGTCGTGGGTTTTCGGGCAAAGATACCGATCTATCCGCTATCGTGGAACCATCTGCGCACGTTTTTCGTTTACTCCACGTTTTCGATGGCATTCTAGATATCGGTGTCGCGACGGGCGAGGACCATAATTCTACTGAGGCCTCTTCTCCGCCTTCCGGCCGTTACGGAACCATCCACCAGCTCATAGACCAGGATGGTGCCAGCAAGTTTGCTAACATCATGCCTACCTCTACTACCACTTCCCCGGTGCAGGGCAAAGCTACCTACACCACGCCTGTTTCACCACCCTTTGCGTTAGCGAGATCATCCCACGACGGCGTACACGCTGATGCCAACATCCGCGCAGATCGATGGAAGCAGTCACAGGTTGGGAAATATGGATGCCATCGGCGATTTTGCAAAGCTTGGGGAGAACAGCATATAGCCACTTGGAATGTACAAGGGCTCGGTAAAGACCACAACAAGTTGACGGAGATTCAACATCACATGAAACATAATGGGATAAGTATTCTTTGTATGCAAGAGACACAAGTTGCAGAGTCGAAGCATTTTCTACGAGATGGGTACTTGGTCATATTATCTGGGACTCAAGAAGAAACTACAAACTATCTCTACTCTGGCGTGGGGTTCATGATCGCCCCGAATGCGGTCCACTCTGTTGTCTGCTTCAAGCTGTCGGGGGACCGGCTCGCAACTCTCAAGATCAAGGTGAGTGGTGGGATATTGAACCTTATGAGTGTGTACGCACCGCATGCCGGAAAAGATTACGAAATTCGAAAGAATCTGTACGACAATGTTGCGAAGGCATGGGCGCATCATGGCAAGCATAACATCACGATCGCCCTCGGGGACTTCAACGCCAGGCTGGGGGAGCAGCTACCTGGAGAAGAAGATATCATGGGGGAGTATGTCGCGAAGGTGGCCCCCAATTCAAACAGGGAGCTGTTGATTGAGACATACCGTGAAACACAATCGATTATTGCAAATACATGTTTTGACCACCCCGTCGAAAATCTGGTATCTCATTATGCCCCTGCCCCAGGAGTGGGGCCAACGAGCGAAATCACGAGTACGGATTTTGCACAGCTGGATTACTGCTTGATTGATGCCGAGGCTTTCTCAATGATTGGGGACGTTTGGACAAACAGGAGAGCTGCACTGTCAACGCGCCATTTTCTCTTGACCGTTTCGCTGGACGTCCAACTTGAGAAGCAGAAGCCGGGCACCAAGAAACATCAATGTTGTTTGTCAACGTTGCGGTCCTCACCTGGCATAGGGAAAGATTATTGCACCCCTAGATGGCCTAAAAACCTCGCCCAGACATGCATATCCAGCGAAGCTGTGCGATATAGTTTGGATCACCTTTCACACGCACTCTCTGACAAGGTAATCCAATCGAAGCTCAGGCCTGAGACGAGATAATTTGTCGAACATCGTCGGGCTGTCATCTTGGACGGCCCCTCTTTCGCCCAGCGGAAAAAGCATTGAATTACGAGCGAGGCATGCCGAGCTCGAGGGTGGCTGAGGGTGGGCAGACTTTGAGCCACCGCAGTTGCGGGGGGTCAGCATTTACAAGCACGGGCGAGGAGGGGCCTGTTGGGGTATTCACGTCTACGACTATACACACCCCTAGATGGCCTAAAAACCTCGCCCAGACATGCATATCCAGCGAAGCTGTGCGATATAGTTTGGATCACCTTTCACACGCACTCTCTGACAAGGTAATCCAATCGAAGCTCAGGCCTGAGACGAGATAATTTGTCGAACATCGTCGGGCTGTCATCTTGGACGGCCCCTCTTTCGCCCATACCCATATCATGAACTGGTGGCCGCTACACTCCACGAATCTTTTGAAGGAGGACCTGCGGCAGGCGCTTGCTGCGCTCCGCCGCCTTCTTCTGCCTGGCCAAGGGAACCTTGCGCAACTGCTGCAAGATCAGGGCCCCCTTCTCGTAGCGAGCCACCGACGCGGATGATGCCCATCGTCCGCGCTTCTGAACCTCTTTCAACGTCCTCCGGGAGTGCGCCTTGTCATTGCTGGCGCCTGAGTGCCGGAAGACGTGCGGGCACGCGCCCAGGGGGGTGTAGCCCAGGCGGCAGGCCGACTTCTTCACCTCGCGCTCGTAGTCGCCGAGGGTGAAGTCGAAGATCTTCTTCTTGTCCGACACGTTGGGCTTGTGGAGCAGCCGCAGCACGCTCGTGAGCCAGGGCCTCGCCACGTCGCCCACGAGCAGGCTGTCGCCCTGGCCGCCCGTCTTCGTCGTCTCGTGCCACTCCGAAGGCGCGATGACGATGCCATAGTGCGCGCCGAGCTTCGCGACCGGCGCCGGCGGCAAGATCTGGCCCTGCCTCGGGCCCACCACCTCGGAGGGCCGCGTGTAGGTGTCTGTCTGGATCACCACCGCGGCCCCCATCAGGGGGTTCCCGTGCTCCACCAGGCCCAGCGCGATGTCGTCCACGATGATGTCGGGCAGCGGCAGACGCATCCTCCCGGGCGCCCGCTTCGTCCAACCCTTCAGGGAGGCCAGCGCCTTTGGGAGGTCGACCTTGCCTGTCGTCCTGAGTTTCAGCAGCTTGTACCCGTAGAAAGCGTTGCGCCCCTCCCAGACCCCGAAGCCGTCGTCGAACAGGTCCACGAAGTAGAGGGAGAGGCTGTCGTCCAGGCGTGCTAGCGGCTGCAGCGGCAGGCGCCTCTCCTTCGCGTAGGTCTCGAACTCGTGGACTGCCGTCGCGTACCTCTCCAGCGCGCCTCCGGTCACCGTCGCCATGATCAGCGAGTCCTTCCGCGGGACGGTGATGGGGCCTGCCCGCCGGGGGCCTGTAGGCTGCCGCGGTCGGCCCTTCCCCGGTGGCGGCTGCCGCCCAGTCCGGGTGGGCCCTCCAGCGCCGGGGCCGCTTGTCCTGGCCGAACTGGATGATCGGGTCGTGCTCGAGGAACGAGTCGGCGGCCTGGCAGGCTGGCTCACGGGGTTCACCGACCTCACCGTGAACCGCTGCTCCTCGAGCCGCCGGGCGACGGCCCGCGGCCCGCTGGAGGCCATGGCGGACCTCGCTGGGGTCGAAGGCCCGCTGGCCCGGGCGTATGTCGCCCGGCAAGGCCGAAGAAAGGAGCCTGGCCCAACACGAGCCCAATGCCGGCGGGTAGGCGGCGGCAAGTGATGTGAGATGACCGTGTAGCAAGACCGAGTGTTTATGTCGAATGCGAGGTCGATCTCCCAGGGACTGTAACGCTCTCAGGTTTGTCAGGATTCGAGTAGGTTTCCGATAGGCCGTGCCATACATGCTCATATCGAAGTTTACCTCGACGACGTCCGCGAGTCCGTGAAGGCGAGCGATCGGGTCGAAGTTCCAGAGTCTCGAAGTCCGGGGGTTTTCCACACCCCAATAACACCCACGACGTGATAGGATATGACACAACGTAGCCGTAAACAGTGCGAACTCGATGCCCAGACGTTCCCGGGCCCTGGCTCGAACATGGTTTCGGATCCCCCTCCGAGCGATACTCCAAACATGACAAGGCGTTCCCAGGTGCACATATATCAAACGCCCTTCTCGGGCCAGCCTCAGGATATACTCTTGTGTACTGCGACGAGAAAGATCAAATTCCCAGCCGTCTCTGATATCAACTGAATCCGCGAAGGGAAGCCCCTCCGCCAGGCAGGCTCGAGTCAGCTCCCCCTTTCCACCGAAGAGCTCCATACAAAAAACTGATTTACCAGGCTCGCTCTGAATTGACGGGCGTACAACAGATGCTGAGGATGCCGACGGAGGTGACCGAGAAGAGGAGGAGGTCGTGTAACTCGCAGCTGGAGCGGACAGGCTCGGGGCGGCGTCTCGACGCTCGGGCCCCCGGTTCAGCCCAGCCGGCTTCTTCAGGTCCCAGCGCCGGGAGTCCTCGTCACTCGGGTTACGGTCAGTCTCGATGTACCTGAGCCGCCAGGAGATCTGCCCCCCCAGGCGGTAGGCGGCTGCGCGCCTGCAGAGGGCCTGCAGGCCCGCGCTGGAGCGGCCCTTCTCGAAGGCCCCGACGGTGACCTGGCTGTCGCTGATCGAGAGCAGCTTTGTGCCCATGAACTTCACCGATCGGCAGTGCCGTCGGAGCCCCATCAAGGCGACCCTCGCCTCCTTGAGGTTGATGTGCTCGTCCTGCCAGCGCCAGCGGTCCGCGGCGACCAGCTTGTAGCGGCGCCTGGCCACCCAGCTGTCCTCCAAGGCGGGAATGCCCGAGTCAAGATGCAGCTGGGTGCGGCCTCGAGCCGGCTTCGCAGCGCGGCTTCGGGCCGGAGAGGGAGCCAGGCCGCTCGCCTCCTCCGGCGCCTCCGCCTGACTCAGCAGGGACTGGCCGAAGGCGGTCCTCGGGCCAGTGGCGGTGCCGGGCGTGCCGCCGCGCACGTAGTCGAGCCCGCTGCTGACGTGACCCGTCACCGTCGGGACGTCGCGGTACCGCCAGCGTTCTCTCCACCTCCAGGCTTCTCGGAGCTCGGTCGGCTCGGCGGTCGTCACGTGGAGTGCGTAGCCGCGACCGGACGAGTCCCCGCAGTAAACCTGGTCCGAGTAGGTCGCGCCCAGGTCCGCCTCCATCAGGAAGAGCAAGTTCATCGAGCAGCGGATCTCGGACTTCACGGAGGGCCAGACCCGCTTGGGCGACTCCAGCGACTCCTCGATGAAGCGGTAGCAGGCGTTCAGCGCGGACATCGCCTCGGGGCAGAGCTGGTTCAGGTTCACGACGTGCCCCAGCCAGCACTGGAGCGCGTGCCCGTGGAGCTTGCGGCGTCTCAAAAGGGCGTGTCCGGCCATGTAGGTCCGCCAGACGCGCCGAGCCACATGCCTCAGGCGACGCTCCTGCCAGTGGTACACCAGGCCGAGGGACTGCATCTCCAAACTGTCCCCCGGCTCCACGTCGAAAGGTATCCGGTCCTCTCGAAAAAGATTCTCGATTTCATGCATCTGAGTGTTGGCGTCAGCCTCGCAGCCCCCGATCACCTGCACGTTGTCCACGTGCACTCCGGCAGCGCACTTGCCGGGCTCGATGGTCGGGGCAAGCTGCATCTCCCTCATCACCTTCTCGGCCCCGTCGGGCAGCGCCCGCTGGACTCGGTAGGTCACGGCCTCGTTGGCGAAGTAGAGCGCCCAGGACCAGCCCATGCACACCGCGCGCATGCAGGGGTAGAGCAGCTCGCCGTCCTCGACCTTGGTCTCGGCCCCCTCGGCGTCGTCCCAGATCGAGTCCGGCAGGCAGCCCATCTCCGTCAGCTCGTGGGTGCCGAACTGGTCTGCGAAGCCGAACCAGCTCGCCAGCTCGGGGATGGTGAAGTTGTAGAAACAGTCCCCGACGTCCCCCTCGCGGCCAGCTGGGCTGAAGGCCCCAGAGCCGAGGCCCCCGAAGCCCGATGCTTTCAGGCGGGGGTCGGAGAGGTCGAGGTCGGCCATGCATCGCGAGGAGCCTAGCCGAGTAGTGGGAGGTGGCCGATGCGCCCGATTGGCCGCTCGGGCGTCGATGATCAACCTCTGGAGCCCATCCTTTTTCTTGACCACGAAGATGCCCGCATGCCCCTTCAGCCGCCGGCGCCAAGTCAGCAGGCCCTGCTGGTCCAGGCGCTGGTACAGTCGCTTCCGAAGGTCTCGCGAGCGCCGGAGGAGGGGGTCCCAGTATGGCGTGACACCCACTCCCTCGGCACGATTTCTCTCAAGCTCCGCTTCGTCCATCTCGATCAAGTCGGAAGCATGCCGAAGGTAGCCAGCGGCCGACGCGGGCAACTCCCGACGTATCGGCCGAACGTGGACCTTCCTGTGCAGGATCTTGACCTTGTCGAAGTCGAAGCTGGCCAAGTTCTTGGGCTCCATCCCGTAGTGGTCTCTCGAGTCGAGGATCTCGTGCAACGATGACTCCTCTGTGAGGTCAGTGGGGCAATCCCCATACGCCAGTACACGCCGGGCGACATTCTGGATCATCCACTGCTGCACGGCGGTCGGCCGGAGGTGCCCTTCTGGTGCGCGGTCGTGCCCCTGGGCGCGACGTGAATTCACGTTGGCGGCGGCAAGCTGGTTCAGGGCCCGAACCGTGTCAAAAAACTTGCCGCTGTCGCGCAGAGCTGCATGCAGAGCCGAGGCCACTCGGATCGCAGGGCAGAGGAAAGGGGTCTCCATGCCGTCGATCTCGTGACCGGATCCCTCCAGGAGTAGAGGGGGCTAGCCCACGTCTGTGTCGGCTGTGGGGGGGCTCTCTCGGCGCCCGGGCTGCCAGCGCCGGCTCCCCCACAGCCCCGAGAGGCGTCATCCTCCCTCGCCGGCGCCCTCGGCGCCGGCCTTGCCCCCTCTCTTCTTCAGCTTCTTCTTGGACGGGTCGTAGCCGTCGCCGCCCTTGCCCTCCTTCAGGTTCGTCTTCTGCTCCTCGCGGTACAGGCGCTCCTGCTTCCAGATCTGCGCCCTCTCCTTGAGCTTGTCGGTGACCCAGGAGTTGAACTTGTTCGTCGTCGCGCGGCCCGCTGCATTCACCGGGGCTGAGATCACTATGTCCAGCCCGCTGTAGTCAGGGTGGCGCGGGTTGCGCTCAACCACTATCTCCGTCTGAACCAGCCAGCGCACGATCAGCTCCGCAGAGGCCAACATGGAGGCGTCGACCTGGTCCCAGGAGTGCATGAGCCGAATCACCTCGCACAGGTTGCGGTGCACATGGTTGACTGCCGAACCCTCACCGACTCCGCTGAGCCGCTCCCACTCCGCCTGGTACGATGTCATGTTGCCAGGGCCGGAGGCCACCGACTCGAGGAACTCCTTCACGCTCCTCACGCCGGCGAGCGGGAAGTTCGGCTGATCCGTGTCTCTCATCAGCGCGACCGCCTCCGAGAGCCTCAGACAGCGCTGCCCAGCATCGTCGAGGTGGTCCCCGAGCGTGCGCACGTCTCCGAGGTCCGCCTTGGTCTCCTTCTTGAAGTCGTCGAGCTTGCTGGCCGCGATCTTCTGCACGAAGATCTCCTCTCCGTCCACGACCGCCACCCCCTTCGTGTCGAAGCCCGTGCCGCGGGCGTCGTCGTCCATGACGGCCGCGTCGATCACCTCGCCGAACCTCGCCGACCGGGGCTCGGCCACCACCCAGATCATCCTCTCGACCACGTCCACCTGGCCCACGCCCAGCAGCTGCCCCTGGATCTTCGCACGGCGGCGGAAGCCCGCCAGGGCGGCGGCGGCGATGGGGTCGTGGGCATAGACCTGGTTGCCCAAGTGGGCGGGGAACGGGGCTCGCCTCTCCAGCACCTCGTGCCGGATGTCCAGCAGCTTCAGGCGCACCAGCGCGAGATCAGGGGTCAAGCTGATCCAGATGTCGTCCGACACCCTGAAGAGCAGCACTCTGTGGTGCCAGAGGAAGCCGTTCTCATCATCTGGGTAGTGGACCAGGATCGGCGGGTCGCCGATGTCCAGCGTCAGCACGTCTGCCATCGGGCTACAGCTGCCGGCGGCTCGGCGTCGAGGGCCCTCGGCCCGGCTGCGGGCACGCCAGCCCCTCTACCGCCGCCGCCCTCGAGGCCGCGGCCGGTTGGGCGCCGGGCTCGGTCGCCCGGCCCGGCGCGCGCTCGCGCCCGCCGCAGCGACAGCGCCGGCAGGCCCCCACCAGGAAGCCCAGCGTGCCAGCACCAGAGGCCACAGCGCCGAGCAGCAGGAGCCCGGCCAGCAGCAGGCACCGCAGCGCCCACACCTCCGACTGGAGGAGGCCGACCTCCTGCTGGAGGTCGATGATCTTGCGCAGCTCCCAGTCGCAGGAGCAGCGCTCAGAGTCCCCCTGGCAGTGGCCGGAGGTCGCGAACGGCGCCGCGAGAGCCGCCTGGGTGGTGACTCCGCCCCAGCCCCAACTCCAGCAGGCGCTCCAGGTCGCCCCCCAGGCCGTGAGCAGTGTCGCCCACAGCGGAGGCGCCCCTCCGTCCATGCAGGGGCCGCCGCGGCTGGGGGCCTCTCAGACTTTGAGCCACCGCAGTTGCGGGGGGTCAGCATTTACAAGCACGGGCGAGGAGGGGCCTGTTGGGGTATTCACGTCTACGACTATACATGATGCCTTTGACGTTGCACTCCAACGCGATGCGAATTCATTACCATTGGATATACATGCAATCGCGCTGGCGGGAGCCATGCGTGAAGCATCGCAGGTGGCAGCCGTACCTGGTCGAGGCCGCCAGCGACAACGGATTTCTCCACGAACGCTTGGGCTACTTCGGGAACGGGACCAACTACGGGAGAGCGGAGACAAAGAGGGAGAACAACGACAGAGCAAGGCAATCAAGAGAGCCATACGACAAGACAAACGAAAATGGCTGGATGCGCAACTCGCTGGAGGGCCGTGGGCGGCAATCAAAGCACTCAGGAAGACCCCGGGTAAGACGCCCATAGACATCAAAGATAGGTCGGGACAGCCGGTCGCAAGCAACCAGCGCGCAAATACGTTGGCGGATTACTTCGAGAAGGTGCAGTGGGACATCAAGTACGCCGGTATACAACCAGAAGACAATGCCAGTATGGGGGAACAATTACCCATGGACACGAACACCTTTACCATGGGCGAGCTCACCGAAGCATTGAAGGCCCTTGCCGTTGGAAAGGCAGCAGGACACGACGGGATCGCGCCTGAATTCTGGAAATTACTTCGTATGTCGAGTACCGCATCTACAAGTTTGTTGGAGATTTGCCAAAAGTGCTGGTGCAATAAAGATATCCCAGATTCGTGGCGGACTGCATCAGTGGTGCTCCTGTTCAAAAAGGGGGACGCGAGTCTACCAGAGAACTATCGTCCAATTTCACTTCTTCCGGTGGGCTACAAGGTGCTGGCCTGGATGATCCAGAAACGACTTCAACGGGGAGGGGCCGAGAGCAGAATCCGACCAACTCAATTTGGTTTCAGACCAGGGCGCAGTACTATAGATGCAATTTCAATAGCACGCCGAATGATAGACGCCGCTCAGTGCGCGAAAGAGCCTGGTTTGATCGCTGTCCTTCTTGATTGGGCCAAGGCTTTCGACCGCATCAAACACGACGCGCTGATACGGGCATTGGCGAGATTTGGTATTCCTGGGCCTCTATTATCCCTTATTGCAAGTATATATAGGACGCGGCGTTTTCTATTAAAAGATCCGGCTGGGGATTCCACTACGAGGCAACAGCGGGCAGGAATAGCACAAGGATGCCCTCTTTCTCCTTACCTGTTCATCATCATGCAGACGGTAATGTTCTTCGACGTTGACAAGCTGTACAAGGCAATGTCAATGGATGTTCAAGAGCCGGCGTATGTGGTATGCAATGACATACTGTACGCAGACGACACGATGCTCATGAGCGCGCATCCGCTGAAGCTGCAGGTCCTTCTGGATCTTACGATTCGGGTGGGTAAACAATGCGGCCTTGACTTAAACTGGGACAAAACCGTCGCAATGACTGTGAACAATCAGGGCGTGGTGCGCGACCCTCACATGCAGCCGATCAAGAATGTTCAGCAAGCCGTCTACTTGGGTGGTTTATTGCACAGCGGTGCGGAGAGCAAGCCTGAGGTTACGAGACGTTTAGGCGAAGCCAGGAGGACATTCAAATTGTTGCACAAGTGTTGGGCCCATGCTGGTATCAGTAAATCCCGGAAGCTCCGATTATTTGACGCTATTGTGGTGCCTAAACTCTTGTACAACTTGGAATCTTTATGGATATTGCAAGCAGACCGCAACAGAATTAACAGTTTCCAAGCATCGTGTTTCCGACAAATCTTGCGGATCCAGCATGCTTACTATTCTCGGGTGTCCAACGCCGAAGTTATATCACTTGCTCAAGCTGATCTCCTGAGTGAGACATTACGTACCAGGCAAGTGCAAGCCTACGACAAGATCTCCAGCCTGCCCGACGATAACTTTTTGAAACAGTTGGTTTGCCAGCCAGGGAGCACTGCGCCAAGACAGTGGCACTTGGTCCGGAAGCGCGGTCGCCCTAAGCTGCAATGGGCTCAGTGTGTGTACAAGTTGGCCCACTAATCGTCTACGCGCTGGTGTCCCGGGGGCCCGCTAAAGCGCAGGCCGCGTGCAGATCTCAAGTTATGCGTATCATAATATCCACCCTCTCCTCCCCTCCCCTCTCCATTCCTCCCCCCAGCGCTTCCGTTTGGCAGGCATGCAGGTCATCGTGCGAATTTATGTGCGTGCGCCGGGCCGGCCCTAATAGAGTGTAGGTCTGCAGTGCTGTTGCATTTCCTGCTAATCTGTTTCATGGAATCTGTGAGCCAATCGTGCTCCTGTCGATTCCTTGCCGATGCGCCGCTGCCTGGCGCCTGGCTTACTGACTGACCTCCTTCTCCTCCCCCTCGTCCCCTCGCAGAAATTCCCCCAAAGGTCTCCACAACTCGAGAGTGACCAAGAGAGGGGCGTCCAAAACGAGGGTTCACAACTCATGGCCCGAGGCACGTGCGCGGACGAGGGGTGAGCCAAGTGACGCATTGAAAAAAGAAGCAAGGGCCATGAGATCGGGGGAGATTAGACATACTATCCATCAAGAGAGGCCCTTCACCGGGCAAACTGAAGGACAGTCAAGGGTACCCCCACCAAGGATGCGCAAGAACACCCAATACACACGAAAAACATTACGGTACCCTCCCCGAACTGACCTCAATATTATACCTCGGTCTGAATGCTTCATCGCCCCGGCCGTGACATCCCCCCCTAGACATCACCCCCTCCTGGCCGCCCCCGTCCAATACAGGCACCCCAAAAAATAGCAGGATGCACTGGAGATGGTTCGCCGTAGGCGCCTTCGCTCCGTTATGATATGTAGAGGTGGTGTTTTCAAATGTTACTTGGTTACTTGTCACACGAAACAAGCATACTATGTCGCAATATGCGCGTTCGCCTGGACAACTGCACACTGTCCACCTCTCCGCCCGGGTCGAGGACGCATTCTCGATTGGTGAAACCACTAGAACCTACAAGTCAGCAAACTACAGCAACGCATTACACGAACAGCTCGATGAAGATGCCATCCTGGCGCTCGAAGTGCTAATGCTCGTCAGCCTAGCGGCGCGCAACTGGCCATTCAAGTGGACGAGCACACACACAAGGATTCCCTCAACATATCATCGTAAAGCTGGCGCCACTTGTCGAATGTATTAGCTGTTGGAGAAGCTGCCGAATGGCCATCTCACGTAAATTGCGTGCCCTCTCCTCCCCCGTCCGTGCATCCCCACATTCCTCCTTCACTTCTCACTCCTCTTCGTGCCCCTGCTTCTGTTCCTTTTTCTTCTCGTTCCTCCCTTTGTCCACCTCCCCCGCTTCGCACAACTCCTTCCACCCTTCTACGGGAGGGGACACGAGGGGGACGAACAGGGGGAAGTGAAAGGGAGGAGAGGTTGGAAGGGGAGGTGATGACTGTGCCATCTCTCATTTCCCATCTGGGAGTGAATGAATGGAGGGGCAACGCATGGGGGGGAGAAATGCACTTCTCGAGCCCTAGAAGCCCCCGCTGGGGCCCTGAACGGCCTCCCCACCACACAACCCAATCATCCGGAAGGACGCGTAATCAGAAAAGCGTGCGATTGGCAACCCTTCGGGAAACGGAAAGCGGAGCGCCCCACGACCGCGAGACAGTAGATGGAGCGCCTGGCTGTGGAGCAGAAGATGGAACGCCCGGCTGGTGAAACACAAAGCGGGCAGATGGGCATAAAAAGAAGAGGACCAGGATCAGGAGGAACAGGGAATCCGGTGTATAGCCACAAAAGCTCATGCTCGAGGTGGCCCCTCGCTGCCGCTGCCGCCCACGCCCCCTACGGGAAGCCCATTGCCTGGGAGAGCCGTCGGCATTGCAGAATACTTGTTTCGCAAAGCGAGACCCATTTGCGATGTTGGTGTGTAGCGCCACGTGTTTGTCTGATACTGTATCAGAAACCGGATTTGCACCAGCGTTGTCCAACACGGCGGTGTTGGCGACCCTAGAAATAAGCGCAGGCGGAATACGCAATAGCTTCCTGATCCATATGGAATGGAAGGCGTCTAATAGCGCTCTCTCGGCTTTGAAAAACCATACTGTATCCAAGGAGTACAAAACCGTGCTCACAACGCAGGCATACTGTATCTTGTATCCACAATTCCATCCATAGGCGGCGTGAAACCATACCTTTTGCATTTGCTTGAAGATGCTCGTTCCTTCGCCCAGCTTCCGGGGCAAACCACTTCAAGCTCTGCCATCGCAAAAAACCAGCACACCCAAGTAAACTGCTCCCCTGACAGATCCGATGCTCTCGCCCGCGGGTGTCCTTACTTCTCCGGTTGACGATCATCCCACCTGTATCGATACTGTCACAATTGAGTATCATGCCATAGCTGCGACCTTCTGCGGCGACGGATTCAAGCGTGAGCGGTCGATTCCTGGGGGGGTGCGACGCCTAGAGAATGCCGCCAGCATGCAAAAACGCCACTGGCGACAACGTAATCAGGTCGTGGATGCAGCTCCAGCGAGTCCAC